TTATTTCAGATCGAGACGTCATCCTTTGATTGACCCAAGAAAACCCACATTTATGAAGCCTTAAAATACCTCCCGAGGTGGTGTCTGTCTGTCTGTCTATCAGGGCCGCTGTCGGCGCTGTCACGGCTAATATACTAAACCCATACAGCCAAATCAAAATTAAGCACAAAAGATGGTCCACACATCGACACATCTAAGAACGTCATAGGCCTATTCACTTCCTTGAGTTCCTCTCGGGCTAAGCGGCCGGCCGTGGCTAAGCCCCTTGGGCCTTAAGATGTCCAAAGTTTTGATGTGAGGTTTTCAAAAGTAAATATTTTACTAAGGGAGTATGTTTTATCTATGATATTTATTAGTCTCCATGGAAGCATTAGAAAATCCACAATGTTTACCTTTGCGTTGACATTTCAATATAAAAAATCAGCACTCCTAAACTCTTATTTCACAATTTCAGACAGCTTTTCCAAACAATTGAAATAAAATAAAATATTTTACTGAACTATGTGGTAGGTTGATTAATTCTATTACTATTTCAATGATTATGGAAATAAAAAAATGCCATAACCGTTTCAAAATTCCACCCAGCATTGTGAAGATACTTATCAGCTTTATCCCTTCTAATTCACTGTAACAGACATTTCTACATTTCTATATACATCAAATCAAAGCAAATCATTGTATTGGGCCAAATTAACAATTATACAGTTTGCATTAGCCAGGTCAATACAAATATACTATACTATACATCAATTACTGTACTAATATTTTCTAATATTTACAATAATAATTACAAATTAGAGCTTTCAAAACATTTCAGGAATTCTTGGACGCTATAACAGGTTATACTTAGCAATTTATGTTTTAATTGTTTTTTGAATTTTGAAAGGCTTGGTTCCAACTTAAGGGATAATGGAACCCAGACAGCACACTTTCTCCTCAGGACATCCCACGGATATTGCGACAGGATATGCAAGATATCCCATAGTGGTCCTATGGTCAACTTGGGATATCACAGGATATCCACAGGAATGCGTAATGTCCCCGCCCGGGGATGTCCTACGGATAAGCTCACACGCATATCCGTGGGACATCCGAGGTCATCCCAGGGTAGTCCTCAGGACATTCTCAGGACATATGGGACTACTATGGGATGTCCCTGCGATAAAGTGTGGTCTGGGCCTGAACATAAAAAACACAAAATAATATAGATTTAGTATGAAAAGCTTAATTATAAGTTTAGTAAATTGATTAAATAGTTAATAAACACAAATTTTGAAGAAAAAAACGAGAAAAAAGTTTTTGGCCCAGATGGGTTTCGAACCTGGTACCTTCGCCTTGTGAGCCTCTTACCTTACCTCCTGAGCTATCTGCGCTTGTTGATTATGGGTGTTTTCAAGTGGTTAAAGAGTAGCCGACAGTTGCAATGGTCGCAATACTTAAAATATTTTTGATACTACAGTATAGGCTATATATGATTCTGTTAATCTGTTTAGGCCTCAAGTAGTTGAATTGTTTTTCTGGTAGTTGGAGAGGATACTGGTATTTGAATATAGATTATTTAATCACCATTAGATTAGCACTGTAATAATTGATTGTTATATGATTAAAATTAGTTTTTTGTTGTTTTATTAATTTAAAGTTAGAATTAAATTCACATTTCACACAACTATGATAGAACTCTAGTTTTCCTGAACTCAGTGGTAGTAATATGTCAGTAAAGTAAAGTCAACCCTTGCTAGCCATAGTATTAACAAGACATATTTTCAATCTGGGAAACCTTAAGCTTTTAAAATAAATTATAAAACCTCAACATCTTAATGCGTGGGAATCTTATTTTTAGAAAAAAAAACAGACCAAAATTATTTGTTAAATAATGAAGACGGCCCAATTATAAATTCGGAATTACTGAAAATAATTACATCAAGAACAACACTGTAACATATCCAAAATTCAAAAGATTAATTTTTCTAATATAATTTTTTATTTTTCCAATATCCTTTAAATGATCTGTTTTAACTTTGTTTAAAATTAATTTATTAAGTAAATATTTACTTTCTGTACTAGTGTAAACACAGCCTGAAGATGGAAACCAAGTTTCTGAAAGCACTAGTGAAAAAAACAAATTATTATATATTGGCCTTGTTGAACATTTAAATTTAGATATACTGTACATTTCATCAGTGGTAGTATTTTTTTCTTCAGTTTGTTACCGGGACATTACAGGATATCCAGTGGATTTTTTACATGTCCCGGGATGTCATGGGACATTCTGCGATATCCTATGGCATTCGTACATATCCCGGGACTTTACAGGATATTCTGAGGTTAACTTACAAATCCCGGGACATTACGGAATATTGTAGGATATCCTGTGGATTTCGTACTCGTCCCGGGATTTTGCGGGATATCCTGAGGATAGCGCACATATCCCGAGACATTCTCAGGACATATGGGACTACTATGGGATGTCCCTGGGATAAAGTGTGCTGTCTGGGAAGTGAGTTGAGAAGCGTTATGCCAATGTACAATGTGTGTTTTTTGAAAAAAAGAAGTTTTGTGTTTAGGAATTGGCCAGTTAAATGAATTGCGCAATGTGTATTGATTTTTAGTAGAGAAGTCAAATTCAGAAAAGTTTTGTTTCAAAAAGGTCAAAGTTTCTAGAATGTATATGAAGGGAAAAGTCAAGATTTTTGAATTGAAAAAGTACTCTCTGCAGGATTGACGCTTACGCAAGGAGAAAATAGTTCTCACAGCCATCTTTTGGATTTTGAAAATAAATTTGGTTTGTTTGCTCTCAAATCCCCAAATTGCAACAGCATATGCCAGATGAGAATAAATGAGACCATAATAAGCCGTCAGCAGCACATTGAGATTTTCATTGTTTCTGAGATTGCGTAAAACAAAAATTCCAGAACTGAGTTTACTTGAAATGTGTTTGGCATGGCTGCAAAAACTAATTCTCTCGTCCAAGATCAACCCTAAACAACATTTGCAGTTGGGTGGACCTCAGTCTCGTCCAGGAGGAGACTAAACCCAACATCTTGTCTCTTATTTAAATGAAAATTTATAAGCTGAGTTTTTTCAGTGTTAATTTTTAGTAAGTTGTCGTCAAACCATTGAATTAAATTATTTGCTCCAGAAAAAGATAATTGTTCCAGATTGTACAAAGTGGAGCTAGATATGAAAAGGGAGGTATCGTCAGCAAAGTGATAATGTTGAGGATGTGGTGCAGGAGGGGATGTTGTTGATGAAAAGGAGGAAAAGGACAGGCCCCAGAACGGAGCCCTGTGGTACACCTCTCACAATGTATTTCTCAGCAGAGGAATAGGATCTCATGCAACCAGCCTCATCTATTGCCCTTATTTCAGCAAATTGGCTCCTGCCGCAAAGATGCGCTTCAACCCAGTCTAGAGCCAGTCCTCTCACCCCCACTTCATACATTCTATTAAGCAGCAAACCATGATTAACCATATCAAAGGCTTTACTTAAATCGAAGAAGATACCAGCCGAATAATTATCTTTGTCTAGTTCTCGTATCGCCTCAGTTATAAAGTTATACATTGCTGATGTGATGGATTTACCTTATAAGAATCCTTGTTGGTTTTTGAAAATTATTTTGTTTTTCTAGAAAATTCCACATCTTGTTCAGCATGATCTTTTCAAATACCTTAGAAAAGGCAGATACAACGGTTATTGGCCTGTAACTACTGCAAAGTTTAGGGTCCCCTTTTTTGAATATTGGTCTTATTACACAGACACCTTAAGTGCTTCGGGAAATGAACCATTTAAAAATGAAACGTTAACTAAGTGGCATAATGGCTTTGCTATGCAAGCTGCAACCTTTTTTAATAAGAAGGGTGATATCTCATCAACACCAGCCGATTTCTTGTTTTTTAAGCTTTTGATCGCATCTAAGATCTCCTCCTCAGTTGTTGGATATAGAAACATGGAGCTGGGGTTAATCATGTGTGAATTTGGAGAGTTATTGGGGGGGAGATTAAAATTTTTCTCTATGTCTGCAAAGTATGTATTTAGCTTGTTGGACACTTCTTTGGGGTCACTGATCGGCTCATGGTCTTCATTCTCAAAGAATTATTTCGGAGGGTTTCATATTAGATGACTGTCTACTCTGGTTTATTATATACCATATTGCTTTAGCTTTGTTATTGGACTTCTCTATTCTTTGAAGTGTTGCCTCAGACTTTTTCTCTCTTATTAATCGTCTATACTGGATTTTCATTTTTCTGTAATTTTGACTCAAATAATGGGAGGATTCAAGACGTTTTGTCATGTTATATAAAACGAGTAGCTGTTCCTTGACTTTTGTTATTTCATTTGAATGGACTTTTTTTCGAGGTTTATTCTTATTTATTTTCTTTATTTTAATTGGGAAAGAGTTTTTGAACAAGTGGTTATTTTTTTATAAAAAATCTCCAAACTTTGTTTGCAAATCTGCTGCATTATATATTTCATCCCAAGTTTCCTTAGATAGATGATACGATTCTATATTTGAGTTTGAAAAAAGTCTCTCATATTTATATAGGGCTTTTGGGGTTTGAATGATGTTATTAAAATGAAAAGTTGCAGTTTGGGCACTGTGGTCAGAGAGTCCTGATATGATAACTGAGCTATCAACACTCTTATTATCAGTAAACACATGATCAATGAGACTGCGAGATCCATGTGCTTCTCTAGTAATGACGTTATAATATTTTGCAAGTCAAAGGATGCCATGTAGGTAATGAGTTTTTGCGCCGGAACTGTATCACAAGCTAAATTAATATTGAGGTCTCCCATGACAACAACTGTACTGTGTCGGTTCATATTCAGACATTCTCTGTTATTCTGTATAAGAAATCGTAATACAGTGTAATACATGATATTACATAAGAACATTTAGAACTCAGCTAACTCTATGGAGTTTTTTTTCTTTTCCAGATAATTAATTTTGCGGACTTGTCAATGAAGTGTCAACTGTCAATTTGACAGCCCAAATCAACGATCTGCTTGTTCAAAATGGCGTCGTTGAAGTATACTCATGCCGTTGTAAGTCGTATACCAAATTCGTTTAAATCTAAGGATATTAATTTTGAAGAAGCAAAGCGACAGCACGAAAATTATGTGCGGTTACTTCGGAATATCGGATTGGACGTCATAGAACTCCCACCTGACGAATCTTTACCAGAGTGTGTGTTTGTTGAGGACACTGCAGTTGTTTGTAATGGTATTGCATTGATTACAAGACCTGGAAATCCTGCCAGATTAAAAGAGGTATGATTACTTACTGTTGTTCACTTAGAAATAAAAGTCTGACATTCATGCCCATAAACAATCTTTTCTTCCCACATACCTATTGATCTAAATCCCAAGTGTTATTTTAGGTTAAAAATAAAGATTCAATTCGCTTGACTAGGCCTAAATATTTTGAAAATAATTTACATTTCTTCCATGGTTGTACTCAGCTTACTTCCGGACACGGAAAGTAAGTAAGTAAGTAGATGTTTTGCCCCTTTTTTTGTAATTTACCTCTAATATTAAGGCAGAATTTTGATTCAGGCCCAAGTTACAATCCCATTGGTAGGTTAAGTGATTGTTGTTTATAAGGCCACGCCACACCAAGCATGAACTTTAAAAAAATCGTTCAACAAATGACACAAGTCACACAGCACTACAGCGGCGTGCTGTAGTGTCCACCACGACGGCATGCTGGGTCATTTTTTTAGACTACCTGGGTAGTTTTGTCTTGCACATGCACAGAGAAGAGCCTCGAACATTAATTTGTGCATTAAGTTAGGCCTAAGTAATAAGAATAGATTTAAAATAAGTTAGGCCTACTGATTTTCATGTTTACTCATCTACATCTCTATCAGTAAGTTAAGTTAGGGCCTAGTAATATTAACAAAAATAAGTGCACAAGACAGACAGACAGACAGAAAATCTTTAACCCTCCCAGTGTTACTTGACGAAAATTCGACAAGCAGCACACTTTGTGTAGTGTTACTTGTCGATTTTTCGACACGCAGACATCGTTTACGGCGAAGGCTCTATGACTGACTGAATCGGATTGAACTGGATCGAGTTAGGTATCGTTCTTTCCGTAATATTCTAAGCTTTCTCCAGAGGTCTGTCTCAGCGCTGTACGTTCTCTGAGCCGATCGTAATTGTAGCAGACAGCTGACGTGCGTGTATTTGTAAACAGCTAGATTACTCGGACCGATGACTGATGTGTTTTATTACGTTTATCATTGTTTTAGTGTTAAAAATCAAAAGTAGTGATATACGTGTTGCATTATAAGAAGATTTAAGTGGTTTTGAAGTGCTGGTTGATGATCCTGAAGAAGTAAGTAGTGATATTGATGTAAATTATCAGCCAGATTCCTAGCTATGGTTAGGCTATGCATTCTTAGCTAAACGCTATGTACTGAAATCTGTTTTTTGCCCATAACTTATTTATTTGCAAATCTACTTCCTTATATTATTATATATTTGTAATCCTCATAAAATTTAGAACAAAGTGGCTATTTTCAAATATTTATAGGCCTATAATTTATACAATTTCATTGAGCGCGAACTTATTTTTTTTTTGAAAATTTTCAAAATAATATTTTTTTTTACCTAAAATTTTTTTTTTTTTTTTAATGTTCCTTATGTTTTATATATAATATTGAAGCCCATGATTTTCCAAACAAAATGGTATATAGAACATTAGAATTAACATTGTTTTAAGCTTCTCAGATCCGTTTTAATAAAACCTTGCAAATGCGCCAAAAATAGGTGGACATTAAGGCCTAAAGTATGGACACTTGGAGGGTTAATCAAAATCTTAGAGATTTGAAAGGCATCAATACAATGTTAATACAAATACCCCCGTCGCAGCAAACCAGCTTACTAAGCGAATTTCCATTTACCCGGCTTGATTTCTACTAAACTATTCCCTATAAATTTTCAGATTTATTTCCTATTTAAATAACATTAATTTTAGTGAGTAGTTAGGTTTGCTGCTACGGGGAAGATGTTGAGGTGTGTTTTTTTCAATTGAAATATTGATAGCTTAGTATAAAATAAGCCAAATTGCCAAATTTGATTAAAATATATCCATAAACAAGCAAACTAGAACAGTTTATTTATTCTCCATAAGAATAACATGGGAATTTTAAATTTACAATTTTTTTAATTTTCTCCGTAGTCAATGAACATTCAAAAAAACTTCAATAGCCTATACTAAATTATTTGTTTTTTTAAGCTCTTAAAAATGGTCTAGAGAGAAATTTAGAAATTTAAAGTTTTTAGGGTCAAAAATGAGAAAAACCCATTTTTGCCCTATAAAACCCCCCATAAACCCCTGATCCCATGGTCCGATTATGCTGGTTCGCGAACTCGTTCGAATAAATGTAGGTTTACACGTTTATACCAAATTTCATCAAAATCGGATCAATTTTGCTCGAGTTATCGCGCTAACGGGCACATATATACCTATATATGAATTTGAACGGATGGTGTTTTTGGCCTCTGGGGACCTCAAAACGAAAAAGTAAATCGGTCCCGGGTCTAGGTCTTACCATGAGACCTACGGTAACAGCTTAAATTCCCTATATGGGAAATTCGCTAAAATGAGATAAATTGTCAAATACAATCAAAATTCTGCCAGTTCATAAATTCTCTTATGCTGTAGAATGGCATCTTGCAGAACTGTAAGAGTTCCATCTTACAGATACACAAGATCGATTAAGTAGCGCCCTACCTATACTTAGATTAATGTAACTTAGGCTTAGGTAATTATTGTGACTAGGGTGACCAAGAGTAGCCTACCATAGTAACTTAATTTATATATCATTATAAACTATTTAGAGTTTTACCTGAAAACAATGACCGGTGCAAAAATGTTTCTGCTGTCACAAAAACTGAATACAGTAACTTAAACTACGATCGTTTTAATTTCATTTTAATGTTATATTAGGAACATTGAATCTGCACACTGTAAAATTGAAGTTAATAGCCGAAGTCACATTTATTGATTGATTAGGCTATAACTTATGTCATTTTAAAGTAAATAAGTTAAATTCCCTACCCTCACAACCCACACTTAAGTTTACACAGGTAACATAACTTACCGGTACGTTAATTTAAGTAGGCTATATGAAATATCTGATTAAAATGTAATGTAGAACCCAGGTTAACCAAAATAAAGGGGGGGGGGGGGAGAGTCGTTGCGGATAACAAATTTGTCGGTTAACCCATCACATGCTAAAAATAGCCTACGGTATGTATTACGAGCGGTGAGTTGGAAAAATGAATATAAAACAACTAGCTGTTGCCCCGGTTGACTTCATAAGTATTAATAAAACTATTGATCGGTTAAGCTGAAATTAAAAAAAAACAGGATACAGTAATACAAGCAAATAATCACACCAGATTTTAATAAATTGAAAGAATAGGCCTAACATAAAAATAAGAACAGCTGAGGTTTTTTTAAACTAGTTATATGGAAAGTTTCCTTTGGAAAGGAATTACGACCTTAAAGGGAAATTTATGAAATAATGGATAGTTTGCGCAAGGTTTCTCGTCATGACGAACATTTTAAGTACAGTATATAGTTTATAGGGGTGTGTCTTGTAGGCCCTAGTTTTCTCAAAAGTTCATGGGTATTTTGGGCTTTATATGGATGTCTGTATAGTACAGTATTTTATTTCAGCTACAACAGAAATGTTACAAAGGGCTAGAAAATACTTTAAACTATAAATCCATTTTAACTAAAGCATTTTACATTACGTATTACCATTGACTATATATACCTACTGTAGGTATATAGTCAATGGTATTACTTATACTTTAGCCCTGTAACCGGGGTTCTACTGTAACATTAATAAGCACCTCAAGGTCGGACATATTTAATCTGGGTCTTAACTGGATTTTAAAAAATGAAGAAGGAATTCATTTCGTTGTTCTCTTCACTTAACCGAGTGGCTTAGATTAGGTTTTGACCATGTAACCGTTATGTCCCATTATGATAATAGTGTGGTGGCAGTTTTAATTAAATGAATAAACAACAAATTGACACTATTCTATCCTAACATAACCCAACTAAACTTCTCGAACCGCATAAGTTGTTTTATAAGTTGAAAAAGGCATGTGAGGTAGGTAGGTAGGTTTTTGTGGATTTGTGACTGTAGGCTATTACCTAAGTCCTTTGAAGGTGGGTTAGATTAGGGAAGTTAAAGTTTAGATTATAATGAATCGATTTGTAGATTTATGTTATCTCCAGACTGTTTTTGAACTTTGTAAAAAGTGCTAAAAACTTGATAAATAACAATTTGAAAAATGCATGCCCATTTTTTAAATTATTATTTATTGTGTTTGTTTTTATTATCCTTAAAACAATCCTTTGTTAGGCCTATATCATTATTGTCTTTTACCCAGTCATATATAGCCTATAGTAATCGGTAACAAATATAATCAAGGTTAGAAATATATTCATAAAACTAAGTTATCTGAGCATTCCTCAAGACGTTATTTTAATAGAAAATAGATCGGAAATATTTTAGTTAAAATCTCTTCAGTCAATGTTTAAATTCACTTAGTCTGCAAGTTTTGTGCAACTGTGGGGTAGTAATGTTTTCTGTGTTTTTCCCTATCCTAGCAACATATTTATATTAAACATTATAGATTAGTCCAACTAAACCATCTTTTACTCCATTCCACACTCATTCTTCGGTTTAAATACGCACATGAGTGGTGTCCCCAATCCCTATCCCAAATCATAATTATAATGATAAAAGTAGGCTATATAATGATAATAGCTGTCATTTTTACAGGTAGAAACTATAAGAGCAGTCCTAAAAAAAGAATTAGACCTTCCCATTGTTGAGATCAGTGATGAAAATGCCAAGCTAGACGGTGGTGATGTGTTGTTTACAGGTAGGTTTGTTTTTAATTTTGTCAAACTGTGTCCTCCCCCATATCAAACACAAACCTTGAGTATAACAACTTCAATAAGCATTTTATACTTATATGCCAACCCTGTACGTAGGAACGGAACTCTGCTAGTATAAAATATATATAAAATAGTCACTCAATTAATTCTTAGGCCTACCTATTTCAAACCACTAACTTACTACTACTAACTTTAGTATAAAAAAATATCCCTTTGACGACATGCTATCGACTCTGAAGCAGTCTGCTTTATTTTTTATAGACTTCTGTACGTTCCTTTATTAGAAGGTCGATTGGTGGCGTTCCAGCAAGAACTAAAGCTGCACAGTCCGAGACAATACGATACTTACTTTACCTACGATACCTACTTTACAGCACGATCACTTTTCGCTGAGATTCTTGCAAAGTGAGATTGTGCCACGTGCACTCCTGTCGGCTGCTTTAGTAATATTGGGGTGGTGGTAAATTTTAATTCACCATCTTTGGCAGCGATTTCATTTGACCGGCATTCCGAAAATCAACATTCTACTCTAGAGGGAGCCTACTTAAAATAGGGCACCATTATAAAATCATAGTGTTTTAAAATTAAATTTTATTAAATTAGTACCGGTTGTCTTTATTCCAATACTGTATGGTTGGTCTATAGAAGCCATAATCTATAGTAACTAACATGACAAAAAGTAGGAAACATTTCTAAGTATTTTTTTTATTAAAAAAAAAAAATACTTAGATATGTTTCCTACTTTAAAATACGCCTAAAATATTATTACGCCTTTAAAATATTATTTCATGTTTAAATATTTCAGTATGACTTTGGTAGCAAATTTATCCTAATGTGAGTTAATTAGTAACATATTCAAAGGTTTAAAAGAGAGTTAAAGTTAAAGTGAGGAGGAGACTGATATTTTTCTGCTGACCACATAATACATATTAAAAGTGTAAAAATCTTGGTCAAAATCTTGCATACTAGGTTGTCATAAACTAGAAAATTATCAAAATTATATTGTGTTGTATCAATTTCTTGCATTAAAGGAAGCAAATTTAAATGATCACAACATAATTATTGTTGTCAATGGTTCATACGAAGTGACAGGGTAAACCACAGTGAATCTGAACAGAAACGGTCCGTTTGATTGAGGCAATTGAGTAAGAGTGGAGTCGAATGAGTCAAAGGCCCACGACACCCAATTGTGACATCAGCTTCCTGTCATCAGGTGCCTGCTGCATCACAATCACAGATCAACGGGAACAATCTTCAATCTGATGTAACATCTGTTGTTTTACACACAATCTACTATTACTTCTCTTTTTGGGTCCGCGGAATTGGCTAACTCTGGAACTCGCTAACCCCATGTTAAATGTCCTATCTTAAAATTTGGTCGATGAGAGGAACTCGCTAACTTGTTCGGTTTCGGAATTGGCTAACTCCGGAACCCGCTAACCCGCTCTAGAGCCGGGTTAGTGACTTCCGTACTAGGACAGAATTCGCTAACTCGGTCCCTCGGCGGAACTCGCTAACTTCCAATCAGAAGCGTCGCGCGCCGGCCAATAGGAGCAAAGCACGAAGATTGTTGGCCAGTGTTGCCGAAAGTGTAGAACCTACGATCCTATCGGTACCATAATATCGTATCCAATGAATAATTCGCAGTAAAAGCAATGGGGTTGATGTTAAATAAAAGTATATTGAGAAGTAGGCTATGTTTATTATTATTGTTATGATTATTATTAGCGTGTAAAATGCGTTATTATATTCTAATTTAATTGTTGTTTATTCGTTTGTAAAAAGATAGTTCGTTCGGTTCTTTTGTTGATGAAATATTTATTTTCATAGGCCGTAATTTGCTCCTTTTTCAAATAAATAGCATTAAATATATGAAATGCTGTAAATAAAATTATCAAGTTCGTATTTGGTAGACCGGGTTTGTAGACGTGAATGATTTTCCTTGATAGGCTATAATATGACTATTTAAAGGTCTATTTTATGTCTGTCGTGCGGGTTATGATTTTTATTAATTCGAATAACTTATCATTTTGTTTCAATGTTCTTATATTCATTAATCTGGCACTCCCCTCATGAAGCAGAACAAGACAGTCCGTTCTGTTTACACCCACAGTTGCACAATGGGTCATAAAAAAAGAATGGACCATTTTCAATAATCACTCTAGGGTTGGCAGTATAGGCCTATCAGATACTGTACGGTAGTAGGTTTTCACCAAGAAGGACATTATTCTCAGACGTTTGAACAAATATGTGAAAAAAACTATTATAGGAAACAGTAAACATGAATACTATAGTATGAAATAGTAAACATATCAAAACAGGCAATGCAAAAAGACTACAAAACAAAAAAGTCGTACCCCCATACATTTCTTATGGACGTTTCGTAGTTTGAACATGTTTGTAGACAATTTTTCTTTATCTCCAGTTTTTACAGCTTGCAGTTTGTTCTAGCCTTAAAATATTCTGTGATAAAAGGGTTTACATTTGAGCTATTGATCATTATAATGGTATGATTTAGAAACGAGCTACCAACCCTGTCACATTAATAATGTGACACCCTGAAGGTGCGGGGTTCGCATCCCGCTGGTAGTACTAATTTTTTGGCCTTGCAAACTAACAACACGTCTCCTCAATCATTTTCTGTCACCTGCCTCTTCTAATGCACATTATTCATTAAATTACCAAGATCATATTATAAATTGTGTTTCTTTCTATAGTCTAATGCTAATGTGTTGAAATGCATTGTATATTTATTTAATTTTACTAGGGTTTTACCATTATTTACATGCATTAGGTTCTCACATTATTGTTTTTGAAACGTCACAATTTTTATTTGACAAACATAAAATGGAAGCATAACAAAGAATCGGCTGATAGCTTCAAGGTCAATGAGTAAATAACATTGAGGTGGACATTGGATAACATTGGAGGTGGGGGAAGCCCCTGATGCTACTTGACCTGTTTAATTTGTGCTCCTCAGTTTTTTAGAATTTTAACCCGGAAATTATTTGTTTTATGAGTTGTGTCTAGTATGTGAATATTCAGTTTTAATTTTTGTTCAAAATTCGGGAACCAGTTTTTTACTTTAAATAACCGGTTGTAAATTACAAAAGTTTTTCTAGAATAAATTCAAGTTTCATCAGATATTTGAGCTAAGATTAGTCAAGAGATAAGACGGCAGCGCTGATAAGACGGCAGCGCAGGAGTTGACCTTTGGAGTGGACATGCGGATGAGCTTCTACACAAGTCAGGTTGTTTGTTTACCTATCACCTGAAGTCTGACCCATATAGATAAGACAATCTTGGACTCTGGTTAAACTTCTTATTTCTATGAGCAAATATCACAAAGGAAACAAAACAATTAATTACTTTTTTGTACAGTGAATTGAGCTTAAAAATAAAATTTATATATTTATGTTTTAACAAAAAATTATATAATCATGTTATCCAATTCTATCCAAATGTAAAATTCCTTGGATTAATTTTGAATAAAAATCTTAACTGGGCATCTCAAATTGAAAATTTAAGTAAAAAATTAGACCCTTGCATTTTCTCAATAAGAATAATCTCACAAGTAACGAATCTAGAAACCCAGCTAATAATATATCATGCATATTTCTCATCATTAATGACATATGGTATCTTGATCTGGGGTAACTCTCCTCATTCAAAAAAAATTTTTAAATTACAAAAAAAAGTAATACGAATTATTGGCAAAGTTCCCTCTAGAACCCCTAGTAAAAAACTGTTTCAAAACTTTAAAGTTCTTACTTTTTACGATCACTATATTTTGGAAATAGCATGCTGGGTCCATAGAAACCTCTCTACTTTTATGGAGACCCAAACTCAACATAATTACAATACAAGAAAAAAGAATATTATCAAACCTGTAGCTCATAATTTACAAATATTCGAGTCATCACCACAATACATTGGTCCAAAAATCTTAAATAACTTACCAACAAGTTTAACTACTCTAGAAACTCCCTATAAGTTTAGACTTTATTTAAAAGAATGGCTCAAGACTAAATCTTTTTTTTCATTGGCAGATTATTTTAAGGACTGCTGGAATTAGGTATAAGTAAACCTTCACACTCCTGCTGGCTCAATTTTTTTGTCATGTAAAAATGTTGTATTTTGGGTAGATTCAGTTGTTTTATGTAAATACAGATGTATTAGTTTTATCTATTAGTTTTAAGTCTTTATTTAACCATTGACAATATGTCCTGTTATTATAATGTAATGACATGTAACTCAATAAATAAATAAATAAATAAATAAAACTTGCGGTAGTTGTTATTTTAAACGTTACAGTTTTTATTACTGAACTAAGATGTTAATGACAAACTAATATTATTGAGCAATAATACTGTAGTTGTAACTTACTTTGACTATGCGAAAAGCAAATTAATAATCACAATAATGTACATTTATACAGTTAGGACTATTATGAGGTTTTATGATCTTTTATGGGCAAAATCCTTTCGTCAAGGGGGGGGGGGTGACCCCAAACCCCACCCCTTGCCACTGCAGCAGAATATTTAAGACGGTTGTAGAGCAATTTGATCTATAATAAATGTAAACAGATGATGTTGTGATAGTTGTACTAGATGATTGAGTACTAGCGTTGACTAGATATAGTTGAACACCTGCTTACCCTTTGACGGGACTATTAAGTCCCAGCATTGCTTTTTCAGAACAGCTGCTGCCAATTAGGCCATTCTAGGGTTGCTATTGGTTGTAGCTGTTGCCTAGCAACAGTTTCAACATGTCCTTGTAGTTCAAACTTAGTCCACCAGGCTGCAGCACATACTGGACTCCATAGGGTACTAGCCCTTTGTCGACCGACGGGACTCTTAAGTCCCCCAAACGGGACCCTCAAGTCCCAAATAATATTTTTTTTCTGTTACAAGTAACCATGGAGATATTTAATAACTTAATTTGATCCACAAAAACATCTTCCAGCAAATATTGTCCTTTTTTCCAATTTTTCAGTGGTTGGGCAACAACGGGTTAACATAATAATAATAAATGCAAATAATTGCATTAATTAATGTTTGTTAATTTATTTAAGCAAATATTTAGTAGTTGAACATTTTTAGGGGAAAAATTAATTAATTAGGTATTTACAAATGTATCATACAGTAATAACATTACTAATTGTAATTAATGAATCTATATTAAAATAATAGTCTCCTCTCCAACTCCAGAAAAACAATTCAACTACTTGATGTCATAACGGAATCATAGTATCAAAAATATTTTAAGTATTGCGACCATTGCAACTGTCGGCTGTTATTTGACCGCTTGAAAACACATTGTGTCAATAAACAAATAGTTTAGAGGTAAGGTAAGAGGCTCACGACACGTAGATATCAGGTTCGAAACCCATTTGGAGAAGATTTGTTTTTCATCATTTGATTTCATATAAATAGATAGGCATACTTTTGTAAACAACTTGTAAAGTTGACATTTTTGCGACACTTAGAAACCTACTGTAAACCACATTAAAAGTTACTCAAAATAATAACGACGGATACTATTTAAAAAAATACACAGTTGTTGACATCTACAAAACTGAAACCCTAAACTAAAATGACCTTGACTTTACCTTTCTTAAATCTATCCTTCTTCCAACACCAAATCATATAAAAAAATTAATAATAAATTAAACAAATCTTAGGATTAGGCTAAAAAAAAAACTAGCTTTTTGCATGTAGGTCTAGGTTTACATTGCTTTAGTTGTCAATTGCCTAGGTTTAGCCTACAATTATTCTATTAACTGTTATGAAACGTATGTAATATTTTTACACATAAGTTTGACGAGTCAACAACGAACCTTTAATTTGAAGAATTACTTATAAAACACGGTTAAAGGCTTTATTAGACAAGGGTCAATTACATCACGATTAAATTGTGTATCCGTGTTTGAGAGCTCACTTACATTTACAATCTCTTCGTGGTTTAGTTGGTAGGTCTACTATTCTCACTAATTTTCATGTATTGCTATTTTCCTATAACACTGGCATTCATTTTAGATATAAATCATATAACACAATTTCATTGGACTTGTAACAGCAAAATACAAAACCATATAACCCCTTAGAATTTATGTGGCATTCCCAGTTTCAAGAACAAAGGATTTATTATGTTGGTTTACCTTATGATTGCCATGTTCTTGGATAAAACTTTCAATAAAACTCTACAATCATCAAGAAACAATCACAAGGTGAACCAACATAATAAATAACTTCTTAATGATGTTATAATTGCATTTTAATTGCTTTGAGCTACGTAGCTATTATATTCCCCCTAATGGATTTGATAATAGAAACCAATACCGAAACAATTATCTTTATTGACACTGACGTTTTGAATTACGGCAGATTACGACTATTTCGTCGTGCAAGGTTGGCAACGCTCCGTGCAGTGGGCGCGGCCGGGTTAGCGACTTCCAGAGTTAGCGAATTCCGCCGCGGGACAAAATCGAGTTAGCGGGTTCCGGAGTTAGCCAATTCCTGACTGGGACGGTTAGCCAGTTCCAGAGTTAGCCAGTTCCGACACACGACCGAGTTAGCGAGTTCCAGAGTTAGCCAATTCCTACGTCTCCTCTTTTTAGCAGACTTAATTAAAGAATTTTGCCAGCTGTTTCAACTGCACAAGTTGGTTCTATGATATTAAATAGCGTTAAAAAGTTATAAGGTTTACCAATAGGGTGCAGCACTATTATTTTTTGCATTTATGATAACAGCTAATTTGAACCAACTAGCAACAAAAAGCTGTGGTACACAATGAGAACTTTACTTTTTTCTATGGTTTAGGTGCAGTGATACTAAGGAGGACGGGTACTCTGCTTTACATATATGCTTTATATACTTTTCATTTATATGAATACTCATAAGGTTAACATAGGTAACTCCAGAGCCACTGGGGCGGAGCCCGAAAGGATTTTTGAGATAAGAATAAGTCTATTTGTTAATCGGGTATGTTAGCTGTCATCATACCAAATGTTAACCCTTTCGGTTTAGTATTTTTCGTGTTTACTTGTCACAAACATCCATCCATCCATTCATCCATACATCCAAACTTTCTCACTTATAATGTTATTACAGTAGTAGACTGTGAAAGAAACTAGATGACAAAAAGTAATGCTCTTTCGTCTAACTGAAGTACAAACCAACTCAAACTGTAACTTACAAACTAGCAAAATACATCACAGCTTTAAGTTTTAAAATAACTTATAAAAATTGGCTGACAGCAGTAACTATTTCCTTATTAAGTCATAAGTCATTTATTTGGCCAGATTTACATTAATGTTAAGTCAATACACATAAAAATACAGATTGTCTTATAAACTATAAAATAACTATTCTTCTGATGATTAAATTGTTAATGACTAAAAATAAATCACAGCTATCCAACACTAAATTTAAACTCATGAATGATTACTCTTCAGATAAATCAAACTGCCAAATATTGGAGTAGCAAGACATATTGCATGATTTATTCATGTTTAAAAAAATTAGAAGTGTATTGCTCATATTTTGTTGCTATCTAAGTCTAATTTATTTATAAAAATTTCAGTAAACTTTGAAGTAAAATTTATTTAAAAAAATCAAGCTTCAAATGCCACTGTTGAATTATTTGGATTAAGTGCAAAGCGAGACTAAATAGTCTTTATTGCAAAACATCTAATGTTTTGTCATGTTGTACTTGAGTTAAGGTAGAATACAGTCTGCATTAGTTTTCTTTTCAAATTGAGACTGTTGAAACCACAACAATACATTCTGTTAACAGGTAGAGAATTCTTTGTGGGCTTATCTAAGTGGACAAATGAAGCAGGAGCAAAGGCAGTGGCTGCTGCCTTCCCTGAGTATCCTTGCACGCCTATCAAGGTAAGTCAGTTACAATGGATAGAATTACGTTCAACTTAAGACCAACACACACTGGCCGTACATATGTCAGCTGACAGACGTCCACGCAGAGACCCTCAGAGGCTGTGAGCTCACACCGATTCTCGTAAATACTGTATTTCCCCATGCCACGAGCTACCGAGTAGTCATGGCTACCTTTGTGTGAAGGGTTTTAATGATGTAATGTGTGGATGAAATATGAGTCCAGCATTAGTGACAAGACTGTGCTGCTTTTCTCCATCAGCGAGGAGTATTATTAAGCCTACACCTAATGAATGGAATAAGACATATTTTTGGCAAATGTCATCATTTGGTGATCGACCTTGGGTTGGATGATGAGAGTTTCAGGGGTGCAGAGGTTGAGGAGGTTCACTAAGGACGGGAGTGAGGGAACGTCCAGGCATTGATGTCTGTGCTGAATTGCTCACCTAGTGTTAATTGTGTTGGCTTGCAGACAGACATACACGTCCTTGGGCCGACAGACCAGTGTGTACTATCATCGCCGTGCAGGCGTTTGTCAGTCGACAGACGGAAGCTGGTGTGTGTTGGCCTCTGTAGTGTGCTACTTTTATCGAGTTTAAGGCCCAATTCACACCGAACGGACGTCGGGCGGAGACGTGGCACGGACGAGGCGAGGACATATGTCCGTTCCTCGCCTCCCCATGTAAACAAATTGGTCAATGCACACACAAGTGACGTGGCGCGGGCGGCCGCCCTCCTGCCACCCGTTGTTCGGACTGCAAATATTGTACTTACCAACGTTGTTTATTGTTTTGTGTTTAGAGTAATTGTGAGTTGTTTCTTGTTCTTTTCACTATGCGAGACGACATTAAATTCAATCACAGATTTTGTGAGGAAGTTAAAAAATTCCTTTGTTTCCAAACTAACTAATCGACACAGTCGACAGAAATAACTAATTCAGTTGACATAAATAACTACAGAAATAAGCAAAAACCAAAGCTTCTAGTCTACATACAAGTTTTCTCGCCACTGTACCGTCCCTTCACCGTCTATTCAGTGTGCATTGTACACGCCACGTCTGTGCCTCGTCCGCGCCACGTCTCCGCCCGACGTCCGTTCGGTGTGAATTGGGCCTAATACACAAGATACAAAATACTTATTTGTTTATTCAACTAGGCTAATACAAGGCTTTGTTCCATGAAAAGATACTAGTTTAATTCTTTATAATAAGTTTCAAAGTTTCATAGTTTGTGCTGAAATCTGCTGTCAACCATCTGAACTTTTTCAAGTTTACATTTGTTTACATCAAAACAGATGGCAATGATACAATTTTGTTTACATCCATACAAAAATGGGGTTATCTGTAGTTGGTTCATTAGTATTCGTAAATTTTCTTGGATGCCTCGAAGAGATCTCGCACCTCGCTTGCAATGCAAATAATAGGGATATGATTAGACATAATCGTTTTCATCCTTATCAACTATAGGCATAGTTGGGAAAGTTAGTCAAAAATTCTAACTAGTTAGAAGTTATAAGTTAGTCCCGTAAAAAGTAACTGATAGAAGTTATAAGTTAGTTAGTTTAAAAAGTAACTGATAGAAGTTATTAGTTAGTTGATAATCTAACTGATAGAAAATAAAGTTAGTTTTAGTATAAATTAGCTGTTCGTTGGGCAGTTGTTTTAAAGTATTTTTTTATGTCACATCTTGGTTACTAATATATACTATAAATTATAGTATATTATAGTAAATTATAGTATATTAAAAATAATTATAATTAATTATAGTATAGGTAAATTATAGTATATATTAGTAATATGCATATTATTAATAGCATATTATTAATATGAGTAAAGATTGCGCACGATATGATTTTAAAACTGGCTCCTACGATTTCCTCCAATTTCAATGCCATTGAAAATTGCTTGTATAATACATTTGCATTGTATGATGTCTTACTAACCAAAGGAATAATTACGACTATTCAAAAACATTAAGTGTTTTACTGCAAAACAATATACACTGACATTGAACTAAAAATCTAAATGAAAGGCCAAGGAGATTTGTATTTTTCGACGATGCACGCACGAATTGATGCGTTATTACACCTTCCCGTAATTATAGTTGCAACGTTCCACGATCCCAGTAACTTAATGCAATAACGGTCGTCAGATAACAGATGTTATGTATCATGAGCTTTATATTGATTGAAGCTTATTGTGGAAATTTTATAGATTGATCGTCCAGATTAAAAAGTTTTGTAGACTAAATTGAGGATAAGTGGATGTCTAACAAAAACGAATTGACTTTACTACTTAATTAATTGTAGTAAGACTGAAAATATGTGTAGGCTTATAAGCTCTATTTTTTACCTCTTGAACAAATCAAACACCTCGAGCAAGATCGGTCCCCTGGTACTTGTGTTTTAATCAAACATTGTCACATTTTACATTACTACAACATAAACAAATGACATAAAACTTGTCAGATAATGAACATCAACTAAAGACAATGTTTTGACACTTGAGATGATATATCAATCACCAAACAAACATTTCCCCTTCCCACCCATCAGTGCTTGCTTGGGGTGTTGATAATGGCCATCACTACCCTTCCACAGGCCCACTGCATTCCAAAGCAACTGGACTTTGACTTTACTTTGACTTTCTCTTTCCCCACCCCCCGCGTTGTTAGTCTACAAGGGCACTGACCTCTCACGTACACAACCCTCACTGATCACGTGAAATAAATAACCCGTATTTTAGCTGCTTCCGCATAATTGGGCAAGTTAGTTGAAAATTCTAACTAGTTAGAAGTTATTAGTTAGTCCCGTAAAAAGTAACTGATAGAAGTTATTAGTTAGTTAATTTAAAAACGAACGAATAAAATAGAAGTTAGCCAAAAAAAACTAACTGATAGTGCTATTCGATAGAATTTCTATTAGTTATTCCCAAGTATGACTATAGGTATATAAAATTTATCATGGATTATAAAGTCATAAAGTGACACAGGTTGCTAGTTAGAATTAGTCACAAATATTTTGCAAACTCATTCCATAATTTATTAGGTACTTTACTTTTTGTCATAAATGAATTTAGTATACACAATAGTGCTGGATAAAAATGAAATATTGAGTGATCAAGAAGGCCTAAGTAAACTATCGCCAGCAAGTGTGTGAGATGCTTATCAGAGAAGGGCTTGTATCTGATTGTAGTCTTATCAGTCATTCTGTTCATATCAGTTTAGTCATTGCCTGTACAATTAATCACTGATTATCTCATGCAAAATCATCATGAAAATATTAGTTACAAAATACAATTCAGGCAATGAAGGAATAAGAATATATGTAGTGTTAAATTCAATCAAATGTATGATTAATTTAATAAAGCATTACAGTAGAACGTCGATTATCCAAATTAATTGGGGGTGTTCGGATAACTGATTTTTCGGATAATCGGTCAGTGACAGGAGAAATACGGGGAACGGGAAATGACGGGAAGGGATAGCGGCCGGCGGCGATTTGCCGATTTCGCGTCTGTGGATACTGTACAATAATATAAATTTGATTAATTAACATCCAGATTTTTTTTTACAATACAGCAACAGACATGTACAACAGTACTTAGAACTGGACTATCAGAATGTGTACAGAAAGAAATTTGTCTGCACTATGCGTTTACGTTTGGACGACATAGTCAGTGTAGAATGAAACAGTACAATAGAAACCCGTACGAACTGTCACTGTCGAATGCTCACAGGTGACTGAGACTTGAGCTTGAGACGGAGACTGAGTCAGTGAGAGTAGGAGTGGCGCGCACGACAATTTCGTCACGTAGGCCCGCCCCGCCTCCCGCCCTGCCTCCCGCCTTAGCAGCCGTGCGGTGGTGTAGCGCTTGCTAGTTGTGATTGGCGCACAATTTTATTGATTTTTGCTTCTTTCTTCATTTCGGTTAACCGACGTTTCGGATGACCGGGCTTCGGATAATCGACATTCTACTGTACTTATTTTAAATAATTTCCAAATCTGTAAATTTACCTAGAATAACTTCTTAATCTTAAAACCCCCTATGGATGGTTATTAATTTGAATAGATGGAAATCTTATTTCCAGCCTCAGAAGTAATAATTATAACTCTCAACGTATGAGTCACTTAAAATCTCTTATCATCCACAAAACCTCAGCTAGCCTACTTTAACCTTGTGTTTCTTAGGTTGGAGACACTCAGCACCTGAAGTACATGGTCAGCATGGCAGGGCCTGATGTATTCTGTATCAGCATGAGCAAATCCTCCCAGGAAGTTCTTAAAGTAAGTGGCTGTATGATATTATTGTTGCTATCTATATTTTCAGTTACAAATAAGTACCGGTAACAAGTACACAGGTTAAAAACAACCCTTATACGCGTCTTACTTTAAACCAACTGGTTTGTATGTTGTTTTAGTTACGTTAGTAAATTATTTTATTTACAACCGTTTTTTTAACTAGCTAGCCTTTTTAATTAATTTTTTTAATCAAAAAGATTCACTTTAGCACATTACTGTATTTATAGTAATACCAGAAACAAAAGAAACCTGGGCCGTTTCGAGCCGCGCAGGTCTGAAGGGTAAGCCACACCTACCGGCGCGAACCACGTGATCTTTTTGTCTCTGCGCAGGTTGTTTTGTTCGTGGTATGTCTATAATTACATTACAGCACTGTACAGTATTAGACCAATGGCATTCGATGTTGGAGAGAGCAGAGTAAAATTGTAATGTTTCAAACGCCAACCTTTCAGTTGGTTATAATTATCATGACCAATCCAATAATTGTTGATCTGCCAACTTCTGTTGAAAACTCACACATTCTCTTCTTAACCTAGGGTAAACTTGATGATTGCTAACTAACAGTTGCAGGGAGGTTTATTGAAAGATTTTGAAAATATCAGGTAGTTCTAGTGAAAGAAACTCTCGTAATTATCCTTTACTACACCCGTAAAAGTTATTTTTAGTTGTATTGTATATATTCTAAACTATCTTTATGCGATCACTGCGTAAGGCACATTGGAACGAGGCGAGGCGCGGCTGATTCTGTAATACACGTATTTAAATGGAGCACCGCACATTGAGCAGAAGCTGTGCGCAGCCCAGCTGCAGCCTCTGTCAGGCCTCCGGGGCGTTGTAATTGGAATGCAGTTTTCCTGCACCTCGCTCGCGCCTGCGTTGGTTTTCTAGTGTTTGTGAGTGAAACTATAGTAGATATAGATATAGTAATGTAGCATTTAATTCAGACGGCTATATGTTGCTGAGCATTGCATTCCTTTCCATTAGTGTCACTTTCAAATCAACTTATGGATATCGTCAGAACTGTTGTTTGTTCATACTAAAATATTCTCTAAAATACCGGTCTGGTAGTTCAGTAGTTAAAAAATACTCTCCATGGCTTAATCTTATTTTCGTGTACGGTAATCACATTTTCAAACCAGCTTTTAAAATTTTTTGGATAGCGAATAGAGTAAAACAAAATTTTAAACTCACAATCAGAATTAACAAAGGTCCAAAAAATCTTCCTCCTACTCGTGACAGAATGACCAAAGCTAGGAAACCTCTGTCCCGCCTCTCTTCAATGTGCAGTGACACGAAAAAGTCTTCGCACCTGCCTGCATTTTGCCTGCACCTCGCCTCGCTCCAATGTGCGGCGGGCCTATCTGCTATTGAGTATAAGGCACATTATCAAGGTGTCTGAAATTATGCGAGTTTGAAACAGCTATGTTTGCCTTACATTATCTGTCCAAGTTATTCCCCCTGAGTTATTAAATTGTTGGTTATAAACCTCAATAATGAAATAGTTATACAGTCTAGAAAGTAATCCATTTAGGCATGGTACTGTACCAATTTCATGACAACCAAGTAGCAAAATTATTCAACCATTCCAATCACCTCATCTGGTCCAGGTGGAATATAATTTGGTGTGGCAAACGTATACATAAATTTTTTAGAATTTCAGCATCGATGATTAATGGAGTGGAGAATCTATGCTAATTCAACTTGTGCATTTTGTTATAGAGGATTCAGAGGGAGGCGACATATGGCTACCAAATTACTAACGGTACCTGAAGAGGTGGCGGCCAATGTTCTGTACATCAACGGCACCCTCATACACAGGGCGGACGAAGAGATCCCGGAAAGTGCCAAGGTAAGAAAAAATGCTTGTATTGAATACGTGGACAAGAATACAACAATTGTCTTGAAATATTTCTTCTTTAGAAAAATTGTGTTAAGATATTAAGAGATTAAGATATTAAGTAAGAGATTAATCCAAATTAAATTTTTCAAAACAATAACTCAAATTTTAAAACCACTCTAAATGTTCCAAAGTTTTGTTAGAATCAAACTGTGAAACTTCCAAAATTGATCATGTCTTCAGTCAGTCCCGATTTCATCCGTCAGTTGTCAAATAAACAGATAGATGAATAACACACAGTAAAAAGTGTCACTAATATACCCTGTTTATTTTTTTATATTTATACTAGCTGTACTCGCGGGCTTTGCCCCGTTTAACTTCACAAGTGAGCTCGTTCGCATGGCTCAATCACGTCCTGGTTGAAGTTCGTTCGCTACGCTCACTCACCTTTAGGTTGGAGCTCGTTCGCTCCGCTCACTTGCCTTGCTTTTAGTTGCAAATTGGCTGTAGTCATAAATTTAAAAAAAAAATAATAGTGCTGCACCCTGTTAGTAATCCTTGTAACTTTAATGCTATTGAACATTATAGAACAGAACCAACTTGTTAAAATTGAAACAGCTGCTAAGAAATTCCTTTTAAATATGGAAAATAAGGTTAACATGGGAAACTCCAGAGTCACTGGGGCGGAGCCCGAAAGCCCGATCAGAATAAAAACTACTTAGTTTTCATATTTAATGCCCAAAGAATCGGTGTACCGAATTTCAGCCTCCTAGCTAAATGGGAAGTGGGAGAATTAGTGATGAGTGAGTGAGTCAGTCAGTGAGGGCTTTGCCTTTTATATATTTAGATACAGGGTGAATAAAAAGTCAAGACCCCCCCCCCCCTCTAATATTTTTCACATTAAATATACAGAGATATCCTTTTGGTGGTCGTGCCAGCTTAGCAGGAAGTTTCATTTTATGATTTTGAAATTTTTGAGTGTCCCCCCAAAAGGGGGGATTTGGGGGGTATATTTTAAATGTAAACCCCCTTCAAGTGACAGCTCATTTTGAAGTGTTTACAAAAACTTAAAGAATGGTGAAAATTAGAGGTCGCTATCTCTTCTCTATCCAAAATGGTAGCCCGTCAAATGTTGTAGAAAATCAATGGTAAAATTGGTTCGTAATGGTAATATTGGCTACCATTTTAGATAGAGAAGAGATAGCGAACTCTGGTTTTCACCATTCTTTAAGTTTTTGTAAACTCTTCAAAATGAAGTGTCACTTGATGGGGGTTTACATTGAAAAAAGTTTAGTTACCCCCCAAATCCCCCCTCTTTTTGGGGGACAATCAAAAATTTCAAATGTAAACCCCCATTTTTTTGATACTTTGTTTTGAAGTGTTTACAAAAACTTAAAGAATGGTGAAAACTAGAGGTAGCTATCTCTTTTCTAACCAAAATGGTAGCCAATATTACTATTACGAACCAATTTTAACATTGATTTTCTACAACATTTGACGGGTTACCATTTTGCATAGAGAAGAGATAGCGACCTCTAATTTTCACCATTATTTAAGTTTTTGTAAACACTTCAAAATGAGCTGTCACTTGAAGGGGATTTACATTTAAAATATTCGAGTTAACCCCCAAACCCCCCCTTTTGGGGGGACACTCAAAAATTTCAAAATCATAAAATGAAACTTCCTGCTAAGATTGCACGACCACCAAAAGGATATCTCTGTATATTTAATGGGAAAAATATTAAAGGGGGGGGTCTTGACTTTTTATTCACCCTGTATATATTTCTTTACATTCAGTTCTACTAAAGAAACATCCTACCTCGATGACCATTTGTAGGATTTCCGTGTAACAAACTTTAACTGTATTGTCATTGTGCAATTTTTGGTCATAATTAGGTAAGAGTTTTAGGGTGATGACTGGTGTATATTTCAGGTGTTCTACAACAGGATAGACTTCTCCAGACATGCCGTCAATGTCTCAGAGCTAGCGAAGACTTCCAACAGCGGACTTAGCTCTTGTTGTCTGTTACTACGGAGATCTAGACACATTCGCAGTCTTTAAAATTGCATCTTATTGTGTATCTCTTCCCTTCTGCCCTTAGTGCAAACCCAATTTGAGTGAGTGAAATCAGTCAAAGTAATCTAAGTAAAACACAAATACATGAAACAAGGTTTTGTTAAATAATCGTGGTTAGTCTAAAATACAGAGTTAATAGTATTAATTTGAATACCGTACCTTGTACCAAAGATAATAATTATTTGGTGGTTTTATAAAAAAAAATTACCAAGTGACCTGCCAATAACTTGTGCAGTACTTTCTTGATATAAATTTAGTGCTTGGGTTTGCACGATTCCTTATCCATTCCCTCTTGTATTCAATGGTGGCTACCACAACGCTTAGCTTGGATCTGTCCTGATGTCAAACATCCTTAGATATAAGCTACGTTCAAAACTATCTTCCTTTGAATGCAACGTGTATGTGAATTGTTAATTATAGCTTTTTCAGATAGGACTCAAAATTCAAAGAGTTTAAACTGAACGCTGAAAGCTTGAATTACTCTTAGTTTTAAATATCAATATTTTTCTGCATTAGTATTTTTTCAAAATCACATACTATATGTGTAAATCTTTTGAAGTTTTTTAAAAAATTCAAAGATGTTTCATTTTTAAAATTGTGGTTGTATGTCAGTAAGGTGATAAAAATTGGTAATTTTGTTTGGTTATTGAAACTTAACCCACCAGGATGGATAGCCAGTAGGATACTGAATGAAAATTCAGGTTATAATTTTATACCAAGTTATTATCTCGTAAGTTGGTGTTTAAGTACAATGTAGAATGTCTAATTGCGGATTAGAATTGAAAATTAGCTAATAGCTACCCAAATTGTCTTCCCCCAAATTTAGTTGTGACAATAGAGATTATTGGTGTAATTGTTCTTATAAAATAAGAGTAAATAGCATTTTAAGAACAATGAGTGTTTGTTTTTATTGAGACAAATGTGTTAGAAAAAAGTACAATTTCTAGCTTTAGAAATGAATATAATTTATTTTTTACAGTTTTTACTTGTGTTATTAAATATTTTTGTTTGTTATTCCAATAAGGTCCCATATATAAATACTTTACTTAGGCCAAGTTTATTAATTTACCTTATATTATTTATTATAAAAATGCATAACTGATAAACTTAATATTTGTTCACAAAGCAAAAGAACCGAAGAAAATATGAAGCTTCTCTTTTGTTTGAAATCGTAGTAATAGTTTATTAAGCTGTATTTGTGTAATATTTTTTAGTGTTTATTAACAAACAATTTGTCAAAGTCAAACTCACAAAGCATTCAATTTCACCTTGTATTTAGTTCAATCAAAAATGTGACTACAAACTACAACTTATATTAAATTAATATATTGAGTAATTTGAGTTCAAAATAGTTGTGGGATCTATACCCCTAAAAACTATTTTACTTTTGCATTTCAAGCTTTGGTTTATTATTTATGGCTTTTTGTTATGTAAGTAAGCTTTCATTCAATGTTATTGTAACTACTGCCAGCGTATATTAAGTGTCTTATTTTGCAAAACATTGACCAAACTACTTAGGGGATTTTAGTTGTACTAGTAGAATATAAACTATTATTAAAAAAAAAAACTAAATTAATTTATTAGTTTTATCAAGAAACAACCTTACAACGTGTTTTGGTCATGTTATTTTTATGCCACTCTTATAATAAATTACATGTTTAGTTATTGTTCAACACTTATCATTGTTAATAGAAAATATTTTAATCTTGTGGGACTTGATACATCCATTGCTTGTCAGGATGTGATAAAACATATTAATTATGATTCATATTTGGGGTTTGTTAAATAAACTTGAGATTGCCTAGCTAGCTATATCATGTAATTTGCATGTCTTTGTTCTATTAGTTGTGCAAGAGAAGCCAATTAAACATAAAGCACCAAATTATTTAAACATTTTAAACAAAAACAGAAAACAAAAATTTAATAACTCTGTAAAACAATGTGAAGTACAGCAAATGTAGCTTACTACTGGCTGCAATCAAGCCCGGTAATCTTGTATTTGTAGAATAAAATACATTTCTTCTCTAATTTAATAAAACAAATAATTTGTGTTTATTGTTTAACTAGTTCTCATTCAGTACATGCCGTATTCGTGAACAAAACGTCAATTTAATTTTCCTTACTTGTTAAAAAAATGTAATTATGTATTTTTATGAATAATTTGTTCAACATTCTAAATAGTGCATGCATGTCAATAACTAAGAAGTAATAGTGATGATTTAGTACAAAAAATATCATTAGTGTTGAAATCAAGTAAAAAATTGTAGAAAACAAATCAAAATCTTTACAGAATTTGAACCTTTTAAAAAAATCATTGGTTTTAATTTAACTATTTATAGGCCTATAATGTTGCAAATTGAGATTTAAAGTGTCATAAATATAAAAATTTGACAATGTTTTTTTTTATTAATGAAATATAATTTACCATATTTAAGCATGTTAGATGTTTGATACCACCACCCCATAGAGTACCGTTAGACGTTGTGTGGAATTGTTAGAGATATTTACACTGTAACTGATGTAAATAGGAAAATAATAGTTGTGATTGACTACCAAGGGAACAATAAATAAATTAAATGCATTTAAATTGAGTTTGTAAGTTTTCATATTTTATAACTGATGAAAGACTGAATTGATTGTTATATATTTTTATGTTATAAAAAGTAAAAATTGTAAAAGACAGTAATTATTTATCACACAAGCATAGGTTATGAACACCAATATTATCTTTCTCGCATTATGCTTTTGTTATATTCACTGACTTAGTCTTTCGCTGTATTGTGACACAGTGTGCAATCAAAAATTAAATATGTAATTACCTGTTATTTTGTGGATTATTTATTGTCCTATCGTTAGTCACATACAAGTTTAAATATCCAAATTAATATTTAATAATATCCCACTAATCATCTAAAGCTAAAAGAAAAAATGGTCCTTTTCTGTTAATTCACTACCACTATAAATGTGGTTAGATTAGGTCCAGTTTTTCTAACTCTACTCTAACCTAACCAAAGTTTAATTCACTACCACTTCTACTGCTAATAATATATTGCTCTAAAAACTAGTGGTAGTGAATTAACGGAAAAGATCTGAAAAAATAAAATTCTGACTTTATCACACTTTGTCAGAAGCTCATTTAACTAGGTTTTATTTACAAAAAATTGGCTAAATAATGGGACGTTTACTTCAGTATCAAAATAAAAATTATATTAGGCCAACATGACTAAAAAAGTGACATTATTTATAGTAGCATAAATTCCTGTATATAATTCAGAACTCTTGATAAAATGAAACTTAGGAAAAATATATAAAAATCTGAAAATTTGCACATACACATTGTTTATTAGAATCTTAAAGAAATGCAAAAAGATCAATATCGAGCTTTTATCCACCTGTCAGGTTGATTCGTTGATGTTTTTCAATAATAGCGACGATGCTCGTGTAGGATCCAGTGAAGAAACCGATGAATCCAAACAAAATAATTGCTAAATTCTTCCATAGAATCCAGTTGCCTTTGCCGAGTCCTTCCTCAGATCCCCAGTAGACAATGATCTCCACGATGGACGGTAACATGAGTCCGAGGAAAGACAAACACACGGCTCCTACCAGGGAGATGAACGGCCCCAGGTGAGGGATCAACACTGCGACCAGTACTGAAATGAATTGTTAACAGTTATTACTCTCTTCGTTTAACGGCTAATTTTTATAATGAAAGTAAAGTACATAATCCTGCTAAATTATACAGGGTGAGTTTATGTGTATAAGCTAATAGCTAGCGAGTAATAGAGCAAGCTTGTCAGCGAGTACAATAAAAAGTTCCTGCTGTTCCTCCGACATCATGAAAAATAATCCTAGTTTTCACTTATACTGTAAAATTTAACTGTGACTGCACGTACATAGTTTTACAGTTTTTAAATAGTAGCCATCAAAGAGAGTACACTGGGCTAGTTTGCGAGCTTCATGTAAAAATATGAATGTTTACTCCTACATAATTAAACATAGTTCTTTTTTTTTACATTAGTCAATGTACATTGCAAAAAGGTAATTGTTGAACAAAAATCTTTCAAGCAACTTTGAACAGCCAAAAGGCGTGTCAGTACCAAAATAGAACCTACTTTGTAATGCTTTATTTGTTCTGCCTTAATTTCACAATCTTTCATGCTACTATCTCTTCAAAATGATCAAATTTACTTTTCTAAAAATAAAAATTAATAAACTTACCTGTAATTGTGACGAAAACCACCCGAACGCAGCATTCACCAAGTACTAGGTGGTTAGCAAATTTATGCTTCACACCTTTCCAGATGATTTCGATAGGTATGTGGAACTGCAGGGAATATGTCAAGAATATTGCCACAGCTATCATCACTTTCACGGAACGTGCCAATCTTAAACAAACCAAAGTGTTAGAGAGCAGGCTGCCGGTGCTTGAATAGAAACCAGTTCAATAAATCTTGACCCAATGTGCACTAAATAAATTTAAACTATAAGCAATAATTAGAATATTTCATTGATTGTCACTGACAGCATCTTCAACCAAGGAAGATTTGAATTGAGGAAGAAAGATAACAAATGGCAAATTATAAATTAATATATAAAGATTGAGAAATCATGGCTGTAGTCCGTAATGTTTTGTGTTGTCAAGTGATGCATCTCAAAAGGCTGTACATCATAATAGGGAAATTGATAGGTCTCCCTGAAAATTTATACTACAGTGGACTTCCTCTTACTTGGACACCTTTTAACCGGACTACACTCTGCGGAAATGATATCTCTTTAACCGGACAATTTTTATCAGCACATTGGTTTAACTGGATTATATCGGCAGGAAGTGGGTGGGACTTAAACGCCGGTTCTCATGGGAAAGATTTGAGACCAGTGATCACGTGTCTAAATACAATGCTCTCCTAAATTTAAGTCGAATATCACAGTAAACGGTCTGTTTTATCGAGTTTTTGGGGACGTCGGTTTAACCGGAAAACCGTTACCCGGACTGGCCTCGGTCCCGAGGAGTCCGGGGGTCTACTGTATACCTACTTCTTGTGCAGTAAAATAAATGACAGCAACTATCATGTGTATGGTAGGCCAATGACAGCGGATAATATCCACAAAATGTAGTCAGACTGTCAACTCAGTCGACCTCCCAGCAATCTCAGTTACTACAACCGAGTTCAACAATCTTTTTTTTTAGGCCAAGACTTCAAAATTGTTAGTTCTATCTTAAACATGCTGTATGGTAAAATATAGCTGTTTCAAAGTTTAAATCTAAAAATATCATTATTATTAATCATTGAGAGAGGAACACAGTTATGTGTATTTTAGCCTCAATATGAGAGAAGGATTGTTGTAAAATGGAGGTTAGTTTTTGTGTGGGTTTGTCACTGACTGAGACCCAGGGTTGCCACCTTTGATTAGGGAAAAATCGGGACCACCCTCCTCCCCCCGGATTAACTTGGACATAAACACGGGCACAAGGGACCGAAATTAGGACTGTCACAGAATCGGGCTAGGTGGAACCCAGCTGAGACCAGATGTTCTTTTAGCCAGAACCATTTATTGAGCCTACTGATCAAGGTCAGCTGGGACCAATTTCGATCCATATCAACATTTGATAGGCTTCTCATGATCCGATGACCAATTTTTAGCCAAGCACCACAACCGCTCAGCTATCCTGCTTATTAAATGAGTTTGAGGTTTTTTCTGTTATGGATATAAGGACTAAAAGAGCTTTCAAACAGTAAAGTTCACCTACCAAAACAATAAGAGATTACTCACGTTGTGTGAGGCAAGTTGAGTGTTATGCTGGGTTCCGTAGCATCTCCGTACTTGAGGTAACCAAAGAACCCGACACTAGAATATACCCATAACAACAACAAACATTCCCGTGTTGAGTATACCAGGACAGCCGATGAAGTGTGTTGGAGTCTTCATGTTATTCTCTAAAGGCATCACCTGAAAGCAATCTATATACATAAATACAGGGGGTTTTCCCTGTTACATCCCTTTTCCAGCCGACCTACTTAACCACTCTATACAATTGAAGCAAGGTGTCACTTTAAAAACCTACGATTTTGCGCACCTGCGAATGGTAACTACAAAGGTAATTTCCTGTACGACTTTGCATAATCTTGTTGAATTCATTTTTTATAGTCCATTTTGAAAGGTCCAGTTATGCTGACCAACTTTCTTTAAAAATGGTTTAAATGTGAATTGTCATTTAACATTTGTTCCTTCAGTTGATTCTTTAACGACAGTCAGATTGTAAACAAAATGGAATAAAACAGTTTATAAACATTTATGATTCTAAAATAACAAATTTATTGTAAAGTAGTAGTTCTGTTCACCAAATAACTGTTCTAAAAAAACATAATCTTGAAAAGATAAAATGGGTGGGTTGCACTGGATTAATTCTGCCTCGGAAACAATTAATAAGTTTTGGACGCAAATAAACTGGGCAATTCGCGCATGGGTTCTCTTCATAGAGATAATTTTTAGTAAGGTTTATTTGACAAAACTTTTCAAAACATATTGGTTACTGTAATAATGGTTATTTAAAATAATCTGTCAACCAGAATTTCGACACGGAAGTTGCAATAAGCATTAAAATGCAAATCTTAAACCTTTGTTCACCTGAAGAGAACATTAAACAAATCTTATTCATGAAAAAAATAGTAAAATTTCTAGTCAAAATTGTTTTTATGTGTATCAATAATATATGATCTGTTTCTATTCAATCAAATAGGAATTATTCAGGTACTTGAAGATGCGGAAAATTAATGGTTGTAAGGTTGATAGATAGGTAAAAACTAACTTAGGTAAAAACTACTTCTAAGTGGTTTAAGTCAAACTTAAAACAGACATCTGTAAGAATTTTAAAAGAATTGTTAATCATCATCGAGTAATGAGAGTGTCAAATTTTAGCTTTAACTTAGATGAGGTTTCCTACAACACCACAGAATAGTAGTGTCTCCATATTTATTCTGTGACGACAAGGACGACACCAATACACCAGAGTTGAATGGTGTTACTAAGATCAGCTGATGCCTTAGCCAGGACCATTAAATAGTGATTTTAAGAGGCAAACGATCAAGAGCAACTTGCGTCCATTTTAAAACAATCAATAATCTATCTTTAATGGCTTTTCTCAGGATTGAACAGGCTACCTTCTGATTTGTAGGCGAGTAGTCGTACTCAGCTACTCAACTGAGAAAATCATAAAAAAAACCTCAAACCTGTTATTTCCATTGCACAAAGCAATGGGTCCTGATTACTAATTGCAAATTGAACAATATTTAATACGCAATGCCCAGGACAAAAAAATTAAGCTTAAAAGCTATAAATAAATAACTAATTAATTATCATATAATCTTTAAACTTACCACTGCCAATTCCTTCAAGGGCAAAGATAGCAAAGCCAAAGAAGATTGGTAACTGGTTTAAGGAGGAAAAGTTTTGCCGTGACGTAATGGGGGGAAGGTCTTGGAAGATGTAGTAGAAAGTGATGCACAGTCCTGTAGCCATTAGAATATTGGCCAACATGGAAAACGGAGCGAGATATTTGAGGTGAGGAATCAAATTCGTGATGATTAGAAACGGTAGAAGTGCTACAATGTAGAGCCTTAAATCCAACTTATTGTCAAGATCAACATCTAATACCTGAAAATATCATTACATTGGACTACTATAATTGCTTCCAATTTAGCTAGGATAGGCTAAAAAGAGAATGTGGCGCAAGAAACACAAAAACTTTACACTACACACACCAACATTTAGATCATGTATTTCAATGTCACTGACAACATTTTTAACTGAGAAA